TTTTTTTTAATCTTTTATTTATTTGGTTCAGGGTCTGCTAGGCAGCTCGGACTCAAAGTGATCCTCCTGTCTCAGTCTCCCCAGTGCTGAGATTACAGGTATGCACCACCATGCCCAGCTTCAGTGGCTGGCACGGCATGCACAGAATGGCATGTAGTACCAGGGATCGAACCCAGGTCCTTGCACTTGCCAGACAGGCATTTAGAACAATGAGCTATCTCCCCAGCCCTGACTAAGTGTTTATTAAGAGCCAGTCCTGAGCCAGGGCACTACAGCAGGTGCCGAGACACAATGGTAAGAGTTTCTACTCTATGAGAAGTCCCAACCTTGAAGCGAAGTCAAGAGGAAACAGTCCCAGCACCTGAGAGGACCTGAGAGGCTGAACCAGGAGGATCACTGTGCACTGAAGGCCAGCCTAGGCTACATAGTGGTGAGTTTAAGGTAAGCTGCAACTATCTAGTGAGACACTGTCTCAAATAAAACAAACAACAAAAATATGAAAAAGAACAGTTATTAAAAGCTGCTGGGTAGGGCCAGGGAGATGGCTCAGTAGAATAAGCACTTGCCTGGCAAGCACAAGGGCCTGAGTTCAAGTCTCGGTTCTGCCAAAAAAAAAAAAAAACTTCTGGGGATATCCAGCTCACATTGGGTGTCAGGAAGCCTGTCCCGGACAAGACAGGTAGATCTAGAAGGATGAGTAGGAGCTGCCAAGCCACTGCAGAAGAGAAGAGCATTCAGGCCAGGGCAAAGGCAGAGGGAGAGGAGAGAAGATGATAGATTTGGGTAACTAATCATGGATTGTGATTCCCCAGCATCACACACCATCACAGAGTAACAAGCCAAGTAACAACAAGCATAGGTAAGATCACAGAGAGGGCTGGCAGCCAGATCACGGAAGACTTTGTATGTGTTTCCACCATTTACTGAGGAGGGTTCTAAGCAGAGACACGGCTTGACTGAGACTAACAGGGTCAGCCTGTGGCTTCTGCTGAAAATAAGCTAGAGCTGAGGGCAGCAGTGACATCACTGTGGAAGCCCAGTAACAACTGGTCACATGGGCAGGTCAGAACAGTGACAGCACAGCCAAATAGCAAATGGAGCAGAGATGAGATGGAGCAGCCACATGGTTCCTGCCACAAGGCAGCCGGTGGGTGGGCAGCAATGAGAACTAGACGACCCTGAGGTACCCAGAGTGGAGAAAGCAGCACGGTGGAGCCACAGTAAGGAGGCAAAATCAAAAGAACAGAAATGGGAAAGGGACAGAAGGTGGAGGCTTCTGACACCAATGAGCTGGTGTCTGGAGGTGCACTACAAAGAAAGGCTTTTACAAAAACGAAAGGCTTTGGCTTCCCAGCCTAAGACACTTGAGACCTCTAAGAGACACGCAGCTCTCCCTCCAGTCACATGGGACAGAAAGCCTTACTTATTCCCGAAGCTAGTCACCCATCCAGCTCCTTGTCAAACTGTACTTTCTCAGCCCACAATCAACCATCTAAAATGTATCTTTTATAGTCTTCTCATCACCTACACCACCACCACCCCTACTGAGGTGGGGTGGTTAATTGGTCTCCCACTCTTGTCCCCAATTCACCCCACACTCCTGAGGCCAGAACATGCTTACTAAAACGAAAACTGGGGGCTGGCCAGATAGCTCAGCAGACTACTGGTGTGCTGTGCGTGCCAGCCCTGCCCCCGGGGCGCAACAGACTGGACGTGGTGGTGTGTGCCTATAGTCCCAGCATTTGGGAGGCTGAAAACAGGAAGATCACTATAAGTCCCATCTGTATAGTGAGACCCTGCAGACCCTGCACTAAACACATTAAAAATAATAATAAACAAACAAAATGAAAACTGGACCATGCTACTTCCTGGTTCAAAACTTCAGTGGCTTTCCATTGCCTCTGGCTCTCAACTCCTGCCTCATGTGGGTCCTGCTGACCTTTGGCCACTGCCCCCATGCTCCTTATACAGTTCCTGCAGAGCACTTGACAGGTAACAGTCGATGCTAGTTTGCTGAATGAATGAAGGTGCTGTTCCACCTATCAGTGTGAACTAATTGTCCCAGAAGCTGTGGGCTGTGGACCAACTGGCCCAAGTCTTCAGGCCCACTTCGCAGAGCTGCTCTGCTACCCAGGACTGGAAAAGTGATCACTTTAACTGCTTATGGCAGGATCCAGACCTCAAATGAAAGGCAAAACATTCAAGTATATTTAGGGAAGCGCCTATTCCACAGAGCCATCTCCCTAGCCCCATTCAAGTATATTTAGGATCTACCTTGCTTCTTGGCACGTGGGCTGTAGAGGTAGGAGCCTAAGGCTTGTCTTTGCCATTCTCTTGCTGCCGAAACACAATACCCAGCACCTGCAACTTAGAGGAAGGTGTATTCTGGCTCATGCTTCAACAAGTGGCTGGCCTTAACATACGAACGGCATGCCAGAGGGGCTGCTCACAGGACACCAGCAAAGAACCACCAAGAAAGAGACCAGGGAGGGGCAGATGGAGGGAGATAAATCCAGACCACACCTCCCATGCCCTACCTCTCCTAACCAAACCCCATTTCCTACAGCAACTCAGCTATAAACCTCAATAACCCAACCACTTTCCAAAGCCCCACCTACCAGTGGATGAGGCTCTCAGAAGACTCGAGATACAAACCATTAACAAGCTGAATACTGACCTCCTCAGCATTTTCCAAGTCATCTAGTCCTTCATCCTCCTCGACATCATCAAAGTCGTCACCATCAAAGCTGTACAGAGAACAGTTAATCACTTAGTAGAATCAAAGCAGCAAGGACTTGTGTGTTAGCTGATAAATGGGAAGCACTTAGTAAATAATTAATAGCCAGGCCCAAGCCTGTAATCCCAGCACCTGGGAGGCTGAGGCAGGAGCTCAAGGACAGCCTGGGCTGCCTAGCAGGATCCTCTGTCAAAAAACACAACCAAACAACAACCAAAAAAACCCTTACTCTGGACCTGGGAGTGTAGCTCAATGGTAGAGAATGAGCTTAAGATGTATGAGGAGGGGCCGAGGAGATGGCTCAGTGGAATAAGCGTTTCCCTGGCAAGGGCAAGGGCCTGAGTTCAATCCCTAGTTCCGGAAAAAAAAAAAAGATGTATAAGGCCTTGATTCAGTCCCCACCGCCAAAAAAGTCTTACTTCTCTTTCCCCTTCCCCCGCAGCTCTATTCCAGTCTCCTTTTTGCAGCAAGTTTTCTGAAAAAGGTAGGCAACGCAGCACTGCAAGAAATCCCAGCACTCTTAAGACTGAAGCAGAAAGATCTCAAATTTAAGCACTGCCTGGGCAACTGAGCAAGTCCCTATCTCAAAAACTAAAGGGGGGGGCTGGAGAGATGGCTCAGTGGTCTAAAGCACCTACTTGAAACAAGCTTGGCAAAGCACAGGGACCGCGGTTCGATCCCCAGCACCACATGCCAGCCAGACCCGCCCCCTGGTGGGCTGAGCTGGCCGCGCACACACACACACACAATAAATAAATGTAATAAATTAAAATAAATATTAAAAAAAAAGAAGCTTGAAAAAAAAAAACTAAAGGGGGGGGCAAGGAGATAGCTCGGTGGTACAGACTGCGTACTAAATAAATAAATAGATAAATGATTATTTAAAATAAAATGGAGGCGGGGGGGGGAGCAAGGAGAGACAGCTCAGTGGCATAAGTGCCTGCCTGGCAAACACAAGGTCCTGCATAAATGGGAAGAGAGGAGTTGAAGACAGTGGAGCTGAATAGCTCTTTTACTTTTTATTTTGTCCTATGAACTGAACTCAGAGCCTTCATAGTAAGCTATATCACAGCCCATTTTATTTTATTTATTATGGTTATTATTTATTTGGTACTGGGGATCGAATCCAGGACCCTGCGTTTCAGGACCTCTGGATTACTTACCTCCCCCTTCAGCGCCACTAAACTCACACGACTCCGTATTACCCTCAACACAGTACTCCTATTCCACGACACAGAGCCTGGCTCCGGGCAAAGCTGGATGAAAGCCACCTTTTCGCTAAACTCTCGGACTCTCGAGCCCCAGCCTTTCTGAGTCCAACTTCGGGGCAGCTCTGTGCTCCTCGGTCCCGCTCTTCCCTCGGGCTCCGCCGGCCTCCTCAAAACCCAACTCTCCTCACTCGCCTCCTCTGAGGCTCTCGCAAAGGCCACTCCGAAGGCGTACTCACTTGTCCTCGTTGTCTGACATGACGCCCTCACCGCGACCACGCCGCGAGAGCGGCACCCAGACACCCCAAACAGCGCGCCTCTACCTCGCGCCACACGACGCATATCCTGCGCCTGCGCTGTGACCCTGAGCAATCACTTCCGGGAGGCCGCGAGCATGGTGCGCATGCGCAGAGCGGCAGCGTTTGTTGCTATAGTAACCAGAGCCCCAAGCGGCAAACACTAGTAGTGATCCCACGTTATGTTTGCAGGGCACAGGTACACTATGTAAGGAGCGGTGCATCAAGTCGAGGTCTTTAGGGTGAGGTTTCAGTTTTATGTAGTCAGGACTCTTGTAACGCTTTTTTTCTCCCAGGGGGATTTATCTGCCACGGGCACCGGGAGTCAGGATGAGGACCCCGTGCATGTATCTGCCTACTTGGGAGGAGATTGGGACTAGGAGACAGAGGCATGTCATCGCGTCTTTCCTTCCTAGGGCCCGCCAATGGCTTCAAAGGACAGGGTGGATGCAGTGACCAAAGGAACAGGATTTGGGCACTGCCGCAAGCCAGCAGCTTACATCCCAGAAACCTGCAAGCTACTAAAAGGTCAGTGGTCAGTGGGTTAGAGGGCTAGGAGTGTAGAGGACTCAGGAGAGGACTGGCAAATACAGCCTGTGTTACCCAGTTTTTCCCTACGTGATCTGTGACTTGGGACTAGCTTTTCCCTCACAAATAAGAAGTCTCCGGTTCAGGAAGGGTTTGGGGTGCTTCCTACAAAAGGCCAAAAGTCGCAGAACTAAGAATTTTGGGGCTAGCCAAATAGTTCAGAGGATTAAGACGCCAGTTTGGGCAGACGCAGCGGCCGGGGTTTGATCCCCGGGGTCATGCTGGCTGACATGGAGATTGAGACTGGGCGTGATGGTTTATGCCTGTAATCCCAGCTCTTGGGAGGCTGAACGCAGGCAGATCACTAGAGTCTGATCTACACAGTGAGATCCTGTAGACCCTGTCCTAAAATTAAAAAAAAAAAAAAATGGAATACTTAACTTCTACTTTTTTTGTATGTTTTTTTTGAGATGAATTTTTACTATGTCATAGTCCAGGCTGATCTCAAACTTGGAATCGTCCTGCTTCAGCCTCCCAAGAGCTGGGATCACAGGTGTGTGCTAGGATCCTTTACAACACAGTGTCAGGGAGGCCTGGCCCTAGCTCAGTTCTTTAAGAGGCTGCTCCACAAAGAGCTCAGCCTCAGGTTGCTTTAGTTAGATCCCCACCACACGCCAGCCAACCAAAAGTGCCCTGAAGGCATTCAAGGAG